AAGGGCTTGATCCATGGTTTTTCCCACATTTTCTACATGGTTCTATTGGGCTTTGGAGTGGCAAGGCCTTGGCTTCTTGTTTACCCTTTCAAACTGTTGTCGATTAGATGGTGTGGGTCTAACATGGCTTTTCTGATTTTTCGTCTTTTGGTAATCTTCAAAATCTTTTTCGACAATTTGGGCTCGATCCACTATTTCAGCATAAGTTCTCAATTTTAAGACCGATATTCTGCTTCTAATAGCTGGCCTGAGACCTCTTACAAATTTTTTCACCTTTCTTGCCTCATTGTTAATCATATGTGGTGCAAACCTAGACAATTCAGTAAACTTGGCCTCGTACTGTGCTACTGTCCGATTTCCTTGGATTAATTCCAAAAATTCCATTTCTTTTTGGTCTCGAAGAAAATCTGAGAAATACTTTTCATTAAATGCCTTTAGAAGTACTTCCCAAGTCAAGGGTTTATTTTCTTTGACTAATACTCTTTTTGCCATTCTCCACCAGTGTTGTGCTTCACCTTCTAACATAAAGACTGTCAGGGCCACTTTCCTATCATCAGGACATTCCATTTCCTCGAATATTTTCTCCAATTGCATAATCCATCATCCCTCGGCTACCAGTGGGTTTACAGCACCCTTAAAAGAAGGTGGGTTCAATTTCTTAAATTGTTCGATATTACTCCCACCATTTCCTGTAACTGACTGCCTGGGTGGATTGTTGTTTTCCATCTGATGTTGCATTAAAGTAACCATATTTTCCAAGGCTTTGTGAATTCCTTCCATATCAGCCTCAGCTATTCTAGATCTTGACTTTGTCCCGGTCTATACACATAATAAATGTGATTTTAAGTACATTCTTTTTAAATTTCCTAAGAATCTTAAACCTATTGCTCTGATACCATAATTGTCACACCCCAAGAATTTACAATACTGTTATTCCTGAGATGTGACAGTCAAAGCATATATACATCTCTTGATAGGACAAATTTATAGTGGCGAATTCTTACGAGGTAACAAAAAAAAGTTGAACTAGCACAACAACAATATCTTCTAAAGTTGATCTCGACGAGCACTAAAAATGAAACCGCAGTTATCCTGAAAATTGTTTACCATAGTTTGATGAGTTTGGCTACTCAGTAAGTGATCATCATAATCATAAAAATAATCATGGTTGAAAGATATCAATATTTTCAAAAAGGAGATCTATTAACAGAAATGCATCAACAATTTCGCTTTCAATAAATGCATAATTAAGTATAATCCGAATAATTGAAATGCATATAACACTTTAACGGCAGTGCATAATTCAAAGGATTTCACAAAATACCCTACTGTCGTCCCAAGTATGTCGCCTATATACCCCATCAGCGTCCTGATGGGTCCACTTAATCCCGATCGGCGTCCCAAATAGGTCCACTTAATCCATGCAGGTCCACTTATACCTCACCGGCGTACCAGATGCGTCCACTTAGTCCCTATCGACGTCCCGGATAGGTCCACTTATACCTCACCGACGAACCGGATGAGTCCACTTGCATAACCTCACCGGAGAACTGGATGAGTCCACTTGCATACTTAAAGTATTTCTAAACCTCTTTAAACATT